GTGGCCCGGGAGCCGCCACTGCACTCCAGTCTGGGCGACAGAGTGAGACTCCGACTCAAAAAAAAAAAAAGAAAGAAAGAAAGAGAGAGAGAGATTGGTAGTAGTGAGAAACTGTCAGGGGAGGGAGGTGGGAATGGGAGTTGAGGGAAACTGTTAGGGGAGGGAGGGACATACCTCATCAACAAGGGTAACTGCATAATCGAAGTTTGTATACCTAACCCTGAATTGTACCCCACATCTTTATAATAAGAAAAAAGAAAAGAAAAGAATGTTTATGAACAACCGAGATTGGCCAGGCATGGTGGTTCATGCCAGTAATCCCAGCATTTTAGGAAGACAAAGCAGGAGGATTGCTTGAGCCCAAAAGTTCAAGACCAGCTGAGCAAAAAGGAGACCTAGTCTCTACAAAAAAAAAAAGTCAAAATATTATCTGGGAGTTGTGGTGTATGCCTGTAGGTCCAGCTACTTGAGAAGCAGAGGCCAAAAGATCACCTGATTCCAGGAGGTTGAGGCTGTGGTGAGTTGTGAATGTCACTATACTCCAGTCTGGGCGACAGAGTGAGACTCTTACTCAAAAAGAAACAAGCAAGAGCTAGTATTATGTATTTTCTTTCATCCTATTTTAAGGAAGAGGGCCACAAGGTTAGTTTTGTGGTGCAAGACTCTTCCATTAAAGGACAAAGTATTCATTTTGTAGAGGAAAATAAATTTACTCAAGGGTTTGCACTTTGAGGCAGTCTTCCAACAACTTTTAAGGTTTGTCAAGACTTGTCTGAATCAGAGATTCTCAATAGGATGCAATTTTAGCCCCCAGAGTGTATTTGGCAATATTTGGAGACATTTCTGGTTGCTGCAACTTGAGGGGATGGGATGGTGCTGTGGATGTCCTGAGAGCAGAGACTAGGGATGCTGCAGAACAGCCTAGAATGGACAGGATGACCGGTTCAAAATGTCAGAAAAGAAGCTGTTGAGAAACCCTCATCCAAATCAAACTATGCCTTTAAGAATTCATAGGACTGGCCAGGCATGGTGGCTCACGTGCATAATTCCAGCACTTTGGAAAGCAGAGGCAAGAGGATTACCTGAGTCCAGGGGTTTGAGACCAACCTGGGCAATTTGGCAAGACTTTGTC